GAAAAAAAAAAAAAAAAAAAAAAAAAAAAAAAAAAAAGAAATGCAATAACAGAGTAAAAGGACTAGAACGACTGGGTGTAGACAGTAATACTTCATTAGGGTGGTCTGAAAAAGCATCTATAAAGTGATATTCAAACAAAGACCTGAGGGAAATGAGGGAATGAGTTACATCCTAGCCAAAACTGTCTCTTTTTCGCCCCTCATTAACCTTTTACTTAAAGGAATTGATTTTTAAAAATTGGTTCTACTCATGGAAACATTCTTTGTGAATATGGAAATAATTTAATATTTTTGCTGTTTCCAGCTCTTCAGCTACAGCAGTGATCTGAGGTGAATTACACTAAGATTAATTTTTGTGAAGTAACTTCTTTGCCTTAAATGTAAATAAAAATATTTACTTTTGTTTGCATCCAACTAAAGTTTCCCATGGTGCTTACCGGGTTAGGTCTGGCTCTGGAAGAGGAGTGGACAGCAGCTGATTGAGATACATCCCCATCTGGAGACAGCACTGCCACTGACAGAAGATGTGAGCTGTGTCTAAATCCAATCTTGTGCCCTGCTGCATCTGCTCCTTCACTCTTTGGAACTCTTCATACAACATCTTAGCACCGTTGTCTTGCGGATCTTCCTTACCTAGATAAGGAAACAGCCCAAGGGCAGTATTTTCAAAAACACTGTATCAACTTGTAATTTTCTCCACATATAAAACTACAAATTCTATAAAGAAAAATATTAGTTTAAAAACTAAAATGTTTTTCTTTTCTGGCTTTGTAAATGGTTTGCTGTATAAATTGAAATATTTATACTGAAACACCTTTTGAATCATAAACTAACTTTATTCAACCCCAAATAATTTACTTTTTCCTTGAAATATGATCTCTTCCACTGGTCCACTACCTGACCTTAAACATGTCTGCCTCTTAATTCTCCAAACCCTACATCTGTGTCTGTGAAAAATACAAATGATTATTAAATATTCTCTTTACTGTTCTCACTAATCTTCCTTTGATGGAAATCCCCAAGCTGTGGTGCATTTGTTTTAAAGAAACCACCCATGTGTTCAAAGCACATATTAACTTCTGTTCTATAGGGGAAAAGTAAAGTGTGACTCAGAATTTGGCAATCAGCTGCTTTATGTCGTAGAGGATAAGAGGCAAAAAAGCAACAACCGTAGCAAATAATGATGTACGTTTTTAGCTATAAGTTTCTGCAGGTTTGTTTGAGCAGGGGTGCACAAAATAACATCTGGACCAACTTGGAAGTAATAAAGAGGAGGCCCACCTTTTACCAATTAGAGAGCAGCAAGGCACTGAGCCTGCCTGGGTGCAGGGTCCACATTTCCTAAAAGAAAAGAAACAGACCCTTGACATTCCCCTTCTGTTGGATTCAGGTAAAAACTTAATAGGCTTGCGCACTGAGAATTTTCTTACACTGTGTTTATTTTTCAGTGAGAGGAAATACCCTAAACCTGTGTTAAAGCAGTAGTGGACCTTAACTAACTGGTTTTGTGTGAAGTTGGCTATCATGTAACAGTCCCTCTGACAGCTACTGTCTTTTTCATTTAAGTCATTTTTAAAAAGTAAACTAAAGTAGCACTATCCAATAGAACTTTCTGCAGTGATGGAAATGTTCTGTATCTCTGCTGTCCAATACAAGTAGCCTGTAGCCACATGTGGCTGCTGAGCACTTAAAATGTGGCTAGTGTGATTGAAAAGGTGAATTTTTAGTTTAACTTGAATTTAACTTTAAATAGCCATATGTGACTACTAGCTATGATATTAGATAGTACTGGTCTAGACTGTGGTAACTATTATACATGTTTAGATAGTGTTATATAGCATTCATAATCTTTTAAAGAGAATATTCCATTACAGAATAAAAGCTCCAATGCTTCAACATTTATTTCACTTATATTTAAATACACATCAAATTGCCTCAGTTTATTTCTCTAGTAGAAAGAGAAGTTACTATTTCTTTTTTTTTTTTTTTTTTCCTTTTTGTCTTTTTTCGTGACCGGCAACGGATCGCAACCCTCAGTGTCGCGCCCGTACCGGACCGGGACCGGCCACGGGATCGCAACCCTCGGTGTTGCTCCCGCCCCTCGCTCAGCCAGTGAGCGGCCGGTCCGCATGCGGGATCCGAACCCTCGGTGGGAGCGCCACCGTGCTTCCCAAGCGGCGCACTATAGTAGTGCGCCACCGGGCCGGCCCGAGAAGTTACTATTTCTACCATCACTAATTACATATTAATTGAAACTTACAGCAGAAAGGAATTAAAAAAAGATAAGTAAAATAGCACAAGCATGAGTGTTCATTGTAGATTTAAGTATATATGACAAGTTTCACTTCTGGGCAATTTTAAATAAGTTTCTTGTGATGAGGTTGCTGTTTGTTATATTAATGATGGGATGGGGAACATGGAATACAAAACGCAACTGGCAGAACACACTGTCAACACTTCACAAGTTAAAGCATTAGGTGCCACAGAGCAGGCGTGATTAGGCAGTGCCCAGGCACATCTCACTTGCAGTCAAGCCCTCCAGCACTGAGCCTGGCATGTGGAAGTATTCAAAAATATTTACCAATGAATGAATGATACTTTAGTGCCTCCAACTCTAAGTTCTGATGTAACTGATGGAAGTAAATAATCCAAGAATATTTTTTTGTGTAAACTCTTGAGTATATGCAGTTTGCAAGCAACATGCATTAGTATACTTACGGAATTTCCAGATACCTACTAGGGCTGTTGATCATGGCATGCAAGGGCCCCATCAGCATCCCCAGAAGTAAGGCTTGTAGATGGTGTAGCTTTGCGCTTGCCTCTGTGTGCTGCAACCAGTAGCAACTGACAGCAATGGGCAACTTCAATGAAGAAGGGATTGGCTCCAGGATACTCTGTTTCACCTTCAGAGTTTCCAATAGAAGCATCTTCCGCCTAACCAAGGAGAGCTGAAAATACACACCAAACATCCTGCAAGTTACTTTGGGGAATGTCTCCGTCCCCATAGCATGAAGAGACTTAATACAAATAGAACTGCTGTGTCAGCTGTTAAACTTACTGTGGGTAAAAGCCACATCCAAAGCATTTAAAACAATAAGGTGCTTAATAAATATGGTTGGTTGAATGGGTGTGCTGTCTACTGCTACGTAGCCTCTGCTTATGTCATTCCATCATCTCTGTGTAGACTGGTGAGCGTCTTGAGTGCACACATCATTTGGGAGGTTTGTTAAAAACTCAGTTCTTAGGCCTCACCTTCTAATTTTTGATTCAGTGATGTGAGAGTAGTCCAGGAATCTGCATTTTAACTAGCAGCCCAAGTTTCTCAAAGTTTCTAATTGAGAAACAAAGATCTATACTCAATTCTACCCTTACTTGCAATTGATCTAGGCATCACCACCGATGCCATTACTGATCACCTCCAGAAGAAGACAAACTTAAATTATACGCACCCTTAGTGGCATGTCATATAGCCTTCTATTTGGGTCCTGTTTTATGTCCCTTCCTTGCTGAATGTTATTGTCTTTTTTGTTCTCCCACGGGGATTGCCCCAGTGTGGCTACTTGTAGGTTAGAAGTATATTCAAGGGAAATAGGAACATTTTAAGGGCCACCTGCATTGTGCTTGCAGTAACACCACACTTAAAAACTTTTCATGCTTTAGAGTGCACTTCAAATAAAAGTTCAGAAGTAAACAGGGCTTCAAGCTTCTTGTTGAAATAGCCACACCTTAATCAATCTTAAGATTGAGAACCATAAGAGACCTTACAGGTCATACACATAGATAAGGAAATTAGGACTATTAAAGGTACAACGTTAAGGTGACTTCATAATCATACTTCAAGAAAAAAAAAGTTGTAGTCCTAGTGTCTGCATCCAGCCAGAAAAAGGATTTCCTCTTTCTTGAAGGACAAGACTAGCATAGTACATTTCTTAGCACCTAACACCTAGTTAGCATAAGTGTGGTTGACAGCTGAGAATAGATGTTAACCTGAATTAAAGCACATCGTAATTGACAAAGTAGTTTCATCACTGATTCATGAAAGCTTTAACTAGTATAATGATTTCTAAATACTGGTCTTAAAGTGATAAAATTTTAAAAATTAGAAATACGTAGCGTGCTTTACAGCATAATTGATCACACCTACTGGAAGTAGCATTAACTACTAAAATTTAAAACAAAAACTAATCTCCTAAACTGGTAAAACAACAACAGAAACACCAAATAAAGGTAAGAAAATACATTCTGTTCTGACAAGCTTAAATTATTGAATTCTAGAGCCAAGTTACAACTTTTATGAACAAAGAAGCGTCTGGGCTTTGACTTCAGAGATGTTCTGCCACTCACTGACTATATAATCTTGGGCAAGTTTCTGAGCTTTCTACAGTGTCTGATCATCTGTAAAATGGTCATTATAATAAGTTGCACAAGATGTTTCATCAAACCCACCCGTCCTTAGGCTCTTCCAAAAGGGGAACTATGCACACAGCCCTTGAAGCTGGTTAGGTTTTATCCCATATGTCAAGTTTCCCTTTCCCCCTGGGGAGTGGAAGCACAAGCCTGCAGAAGAAGCTGCCACAGAGAGGCAGAGACATCCAGAAAGAAGGTGGCCTTGGCACTGCCTCACTCCCCATGAATGACCCACTTCCATGTTTCTGTCCATTGCAACTAACATAAATGAAATCCTATCTCATATGGTTATTGTGGGAATTAAATGAGATTGTATAGTTTCTATCACACACAAAGTAGGTAAAGTATTATAACCACATCATGATAAAAACAAAATGAATAGGTACTATCACAAGGTTTCTATACTTACGACTGCATTTGGAATCATATTTGTGCCTTGTACTGTTGAGAATTATCATGGGCTAATTAGAGCCAACAGCATTGAGCTAAATACAGAATTGATTAATTCATGCCAAGGGAAAGCCAAATGATATCAAAGCACAGAGAGTGAACTAAATTTTTTTTTTTTTTTTGGTGGCTGGCCGGTACAGAGATCGAACTCTGGACCTTGGTGTTATCGGCACCACACTCTAACCAACTGAGTTATCCAGCCAGCCCCTAGAGTGAACTAAAATTTTGCTCTACTTTGAATACAGGTAAGTGATGAGAACACAATCATCTTCACTTGGTAAAAAATACGATCAGCATGCTATACTCCTTGGTTCAGTTGGATTTCCATATGAGGGAGAAGAGTCCTGATCCCTGTTTCACACCATATACACAATCAATTCTAGATAGATTGTGGATCTAAATGTGAAAGGCAAAAAACTTTCATGACCTCAGAGTAGGCAATAAGTAGTTTAAGTGAGTAAGGGGTACTCTTATGTGCTGCTGGTGGGAATATTACTTGGTACAACCACTTTGCAAGACCATTTGGCAATATACTAAGCTGGACATATGCATATCCAGTGACCCAGCAATTCCACTCCTAGTTATATATGCAATAGAAATGTGTCCATGTTTACTAAGTGATGTGTAATAGACTGTTCATAGCACTACTCATAATAGACCAAACTGGAAACGACCCAAATGCCCATCAGCAAAGTGGAAAAATCAATTGTGGTATATTCCCACAATGTAATGTGTTAACAGCAATGAGAAATGAATAATCTACTACTCAACGATAGGGATGAATCTCACATACATCATGTTGAATAAAAGTAGGTAGATGAAAGAATTCATTTATAAAGTATAAATACAGTCAAAACTATTCTTTGTTAAGAGGTGAAGATAGTGATTAAAGGGGTTGGGAGAGGGGTGACTGAAACCAGACACTAGGAAAAGCTGCTGAAATGGTGATAATGATCCTTCATCTAGGTGCCCTTTGCAAGGATATATTGAGTTTGTGAAAATTCATTGAGCTGTACAATTATCTGTGCACTTTGCTATATATATATATATATACATACACACACACACACACACACACACTTACAGAGGGATGAATTGCAAAGGGGCAAGAGGAGACTTTTAGGGGTGATGGATGCCTTCATTATTTTAATTATAGGATAGATTTACCGATGTAAACATGTCAAAACACCAAAGTAAACACTTTAAACGTGCACTACACTGTACATTAGTTATTTCTCAGTAAAGCCATAAAATTTTTTTAAAAATCCAATAGCACCATTTATGTTTGAGTAGAAGTATAATTTCAACAAAACATTATTCTTTAGAATGTTACTAATTTGAATTTTATTGGCGTAGATAATTTAATAAATCCTGTGAGAATCTGACGTATAAACAGCTTTCTAGTTCTGTAACCTGAAAATGTGATAAAGATCAGCTGTGTTACTAAGCATGATAAAAATGACTTATAAAATTGCTTGTAGGCTTGAACTATAAATGAACTATAAACACCTGATGGAGACACCATATCTGAGTGACTTGTATTTAGGCACGTCCCTTTCCAGGGACACTGGAAGCTGTGTCTATGGAATTGTTACAAGAAGAGCAGATCCTGTGGGGAAGCAGGCTTTTAAGCCAGTGAGACTCTTTTTCTTTCTTTGAGATATAATTTACATGATATAAAATTCACCCTTTGAAAGTGTACAATTCAGTGGTTTTAATATAGGCCTGAGGTGTCAATAACAGCTAGGCTAAAGAGGATAGTTCCTGGTCAGCTGTGTAGGCCAGTGATTGGCACTACTGACATTTGGGGGCAGATCATTCTTTGTTGTCGAGGGGCTGTCCTTTGCATTGTAAGATGTTTAGCAGCATCCCTGACCTTTACCCACTAGATGCCAGGAGCAACCACCACCCCTTCCACTCCCTAGGTAGTAACAATTAAAAATGTCTCCAGGCATTGCCAAATATCCTTTGGGTGGCAAAGTCACTGCTGGTGGAGAACCATTGGTGTAGACTGATACAGTGTGAATGGATTCTCACAGAAAAGTAAAGTCTAACTCAAACCTGCTGGGAGGCTGTGGTTGCTGTCCTACATTCTTGAGCAGACTAGTGCCAAGAGTAGCCTATGAGTCTTGTGAGTCTGAATATTTAGCTGGATCTAAGAAATCAGAAAACCCCCTAATGGGCTTTGCAATTGATTTTGTAAGTCTATCTGCATTTAATTTATAAACTTAATTGTGTTATCAACATAAGCAGTTTCACATCTATTTGTAATTTTTAATATACTTTTGTAATATTATATATTATAAAAAAGTAAAGATAACACTGGGATCCATGAAAATTTTTTTTCCCTTGAAAAGGGGATTTTTACTTGGTTTTATGAGTGTTACTTGAGTTTTGCAACACTGAATTAGGCTGAGCCATATTTTCATTACTAAACTAAGCGAATCACCATGATGCCACAAACCTAAAGTCTAAAAAAAGTCCCTATCAAATATATATATGTATATATATACCTAAGCATTGGTACTAATCTTAATTGAAGTCTGTTGTAGTGCGAGATGTTAGTTACACCTATGCTCAGTGCCTGTATGCACACTTTTCTTTGCAGTTCAGAATTTTTTCCTTTTCCTTTTTTTTTTAGCCACATAACATCATTCTATTGATAGCTCGTATCAATATAATAGTAATAAGTGTGAAGATAACAGACGACTGAAATACAGTGGAAATGGCATATAGCTAAAAGAGTTAGGTGTGAGTCTTAGCACTGACACTCTCTGGCTTAAGATATCACCTAGTTCATTTGAGTTCTAGTTTTCTCTGCTGTAACATGAGGACATGACAGCATCCAACTGCAGTTTGTTATATTAAGAGAAAATATATATGAAAGTACTATGTAACCTGTGAAGTACTTTACAAAAATTTATCATTAGTATTACAAATACTTACTTCATTCAATTTGCTTAAGTCAGAATGATCCTTGGGCAGTCCTACTGCATCAACAGTTGATGTTTTGATATTTTTATTAATCCTTTCCACTTCACTGAAAGCTAGAGGCTGAGGAGGCAGTGCATTCCAAGACATATTTTCCAGATGTGGCGAAGCATTCAGAAGAAGCCCATAGATGATTTGCCGGATAGGCTGAGATATTCTGTGGGCATTTGGTCGCTGCATGTTTTCAACTTGTGTGTGAAGAATGGTCCGTCTTAGGACCAGTGCATCACTGATGAAAGGAGATAGCTGGCCTTTGGCTAAAGCCACTAGGACCCATTCTGGTAAACCCAGATTCAAGGCGTCTGGACAGACATAAGTACCATACTGGAAGAAGTCTTGCAGCTTCACCTGGGACTGCTGGTACTCTTCCATGGAGCAGCAGAGAAGTTCCTTAACATTTTCTCGATCCTTTTTTGGAAGATATTTCAGAACACTATGTAGTGCTTCAGTAGGGTCAGCAAAATGAGACAACCAATTCAGAAGTCCCAGAACTCGGTGGTGTCTCCTCCCCTTAGAACTGGTAGCTCCGAGAGGAAGACGTGCTTTATTTAAGAATGTCTCCACGACAGGCAGATTAATATGGTCATTTCCACATAACACCGCAAAGAGAGGTAGTAGAGCTTTATTCATATTGCTGAAGTGATGGCAAAACGCATCAAGGGAAAAGCATTTGGCAGGAATATAGTTTTGTGTGCCCTTAGTAGTGTTCACATTTCTCCACTGAAAGCTATTCAATGGGCAAAACCCAGTTTTCAGGTCGAAAATGCAAAAGTCACTATCAGATGATAATACAGGGCAATTCCAATGATTAGCAAGTGTCATAATGTCCCGATCTGCTTCTGAGAAGCACTGGACAAAACATACCTGCAGCTTGATCAAAACCTGTATGAACACTTCTCGGATGAGTAAGGGACACACATACCCACCCCCACCAACAGAGAGGGAATGGGCCATCTGGATCTTCTCTCTAGCTCGATCCTTTAAAGTTGTAAGCTTTTTATTTGAAATGTCACATCCTCCATCTAATACAACATATGGACATATATTACAAGCAAACAGTGATTCAAAGAATTTTTGTGCAACATCTGCAAAAGAATCATAGTCTCCTCCATACCGAAGCTCCAAGTCTGAACTGAAGCAAAGTCTGTGGAAAAGAGCATAGCCATCAATGATAATTTTTGTGTCCCGCAACTTCAAATCAGTGAAGAACTCATTACCATGATCTTCCACAAAACTCATTAGTCCTCTGATACCCATGCTGACAGTCTGAAGAGTTTCCTATTTAAAACAACAGAACACACTTTCAATTGATGCTGGTTATCGGGCACCACATCATTCCAGCGCTATTAAATCATGAAGTGCTGTTTAGATAAACCATGTTAGGAGTCAACATCTCTGAATTCTTACCTTAATTCTCAGGCAACACTAGCTGAGTGCTTTCTCATTCTCTTGCTTTCCTCGTGGGTTACAAGGCACAAACTCAATTGTTTCATGAGTTTTGATCTTGGGATAGGGATGGAGTCCGCTGCTGATTCTAAAGGAAAATCAGTTAAAGTCCATTACTGACACACCAGTATAGAAGTTCTGTGGACTAATACTAAGATAGACAATAGTCACCTTCTTACAACACAGAGTATTTGTTTTGTGGGGTCAAAGTAAAAAGTCCTAAGCTGTAAAAAAGGATATAGTTATTAATCTAATAATAAGTCAGAAAGCACTGGGCTTCAGTAAACTAAAATGTGTAAAGATCGGTGATAGAGATCCAGTTTTTTGTTTTTTGTTTTTGACAGTCTGTGAACTTTCAGGCTTTGGGCTTGTGGGCCCTTCCTAATTATCATAGTTTTTGGTATGGGAAACTACTGCTTCATACCTCTAGGAACACACTGTATCCAGTTTCACCCCAACCAGGGGCTTCTTTCATCTTCTTATCTTTGCATATCTGGTTACCCAGTTACCCTTTTCCATCTGAGACCATTATTGCTGGTTTTTCCTTTGGCCTCAGCTTCAATATGGCTCAGTATGGCCTGAGTTACTAATCCTGTCTTTATTTAAAATAGTGACATTTTTTCAATCATGAATTTTCTGCATTGATTTTGATTTTTAGCGATACTGCATTAACATTTACTTATGATTACTGATTTTTTTGGCGTCCACTTCCATTTTGCGTTTGACTCACCTCACCCTAGTCCCAGCCCTGTCCATATCTCAGCACCTTACCCTGTATAGTACTTATTTCTTTACAAGTCTTGTAACGCTTTCGCGAGCAGAGGCCGTGTCAACTTATCCTAAACTAATTACAAGACCTTCCACAGAGTAGTTCAACAAACGAGAGCTAGACAGGGGAAAGGCTCTCAAAAGGTTTGATCTAAATCCTCAAACTCAGGGCTTCAAACACTGCGTCAACCCGGCCCTCACAACCCGCGCGCCGACCTGCAGCAGAGCTCACCTGCTCCGCCTTCCCGGAGGACGAGCCCCTCCATCAGACGCCCGCAGAAGCCCGGAGACGGCCAGCGGCCCTTGCACGTGACATTCCAACCCAAGGGCGGGAACCGGAAGTTCCTGGTATGACGTCCCTGGGAAGTCGGTTCCGTGAAGCCGGGGGCGCCAGACTGCACCAGGGGGAAGGTGCTCTTGGGCCCGGAGGCGCTAGGTCGGTGAAGAAGGATGGAATGTCCGTTGCGAAACGGATGCCGTCTGGTTAGGGCAGCTCGGCCAGCCCGGACCCCACTCTTCACCCGCCTGCTTGGGTCGGCGGACGCTTCCGCCTCGGTGACCGCCTCGCCCCGAACTCCCAGCATGCCCCGGGCCGTCGCCCTGGCGACGGTGCCAAACAGCCGTGGGCAGCGGCGGTCGGGAGCTCGGCAGGGGCAGCCGCCCCTAAGTTGAGGCCTGCCCAATTACGGGAGGGACTCGGGGATGCCCCCGGCGACGACGGGGAAAGGTAACGCGAGCCGGGCCCCCGCAGCGCCGAGGAGGGGAGTGGATTGAAGCCGCCCGGGCCGGCTCCCGCACCTCTAGGCCCGCATCCCCGCGACTCGCTCCCTTCTTGGACTCCTCACCCCCTGGATCCACTCCAGTCTTCGTAGACCAAGTGTTGGCCGGTGTCCCTCAATATACACCAACCCGCCTTGCGAAAACGTAAATTTTTAAAAAGTTGAAGAGACAAGGAATTGTTCGTTTTACCTTCAGTTTACGGTTTATCGTTAAGGTTAGATTCCTGCTTGAGCAGAACTTGGTGCCAAATCAGCTTCCTCTCGTTTATTACCGTGAAGAGAAAAACGCGGTTTCACCCTGTGCTGAACGCACTCTCGTTTCCCTCGTCTATTGCCTCCAGCCAGATGGGTTTCACCTGCAAGGAATAGTTTGCACAGGCGATAAACTCTCCCATTTTTCGAATATTTCTCATCCAGCTTTTTTTTTTTTTTAAATCTCTGTTGGTTTTATTGAGATTCTAGAATACGGCAACACATCATTCCATAAAACAGAACAGTGTTCCCCCATCCAGCTTTCTGAACCTCCATTTTAACTCCCCTTGGGCGGCAGTGGGTCTGCTAGACGCTTGTTTGCCCGAGCAAAGTTTACTGAACACCTAGTATATGCCGGGCGGTCAGCACTGGAGATACAGAGACAGGCACTAGAGATCCAACGGTAATGAAGGTGTGTTCCCTGCCCTCAAATTCATTCACAACCCATGAGGGGTGAGCGGGTGTGGACAAGTGAGCAGGTAGTTCTAGAATCTCGACAGCACAGTACGTTCTTGGGCTGCTCTGTGGTTTCACCGAGGAGACCAGTGGAGACCGGCGCAAACCTGGACTGGGAAGGGGTGAGCAGAGCTGAGTGTAAGGTTGCACGGAGGGAACCTCATTCCGGGATGCTCTGCAGCCCGAGCCAGACTGCTTAGGCACTGTGGGGTTTAAACCCTGCTCTACAAATAGGAGCCACTGTCTCTGATTGTTTCCTTCACTCAGTGGGGACCTTAATCTCATCTAGAAAATAAAGAGAACTACTGAGTGATCCAAAGAGACTTTTGAGTTGAAAAAGCTGTCTATACGTTTTTCTGAACAGCTTAATTTGGCCAGAAAGCATCACCTTATGACAGCGAAGGAAACAAAAGGTACACTTAGAGGCCTGTTCTCTAATTGTTTTTTCAGCAATAGATTCCACTATCTTTTCTTTGGGGGGGAAAAAAGCTGTTCACTAATCTCCTTACTGGCATCAGGTGAAACTTAACTGATTAATACATTATTTCGAGAAGGAAAATGTTATAAATGGGAATTTACTTATTTATATTCTATTTTGAGGATTTTTGTGGTGGTTTTATGGTTGACTGACACTACCATTGGCCACCATTATAAACGATAGGTTTTTGTGTTATAGCTTTGGAGTTGCTGAATATGAAAACCTAACTACAAGACATAGACATTCTTCAGTTTAAAATCATATTTTCATATAGATTTAAAACAAAAACACACTTTTCATGATTAACAAAACATCTAACATTTTGATGAAATAAAAGTGATTTTAGCATGCACCTACTCATATGAAACAGTCTTGCTTTTTGTAACTCTGTGATACATTTCATAGCTCCTTGAATTGCAGATTTACCTTAGCTAACATTAAAATACAATTCTAGGTTTAAATTGCATTTGTGACAACTTGTTTCTAATCCAGGGAGATTACTTTCTACACAGTGTGTATAATAGAAACTTCAGAAACTGGATCAAAATTTGCTTAGGATGGGAAAAATTCACTCTGAGTTCTTCTCTCTCCTTACATCTATTGTAATAAATGCAAAAACTGTGGTTTAAAGACGACAGGGGAAAAAATCTAAAGTAAATAAGCATCATCCTAATTTCTGGTTTAATCCTAACTCACTATTTGTAAACCAAAATAGACATAAGAAGAACGAGGAGAGCATTACAAAAAGGTTGATGCAAATGTATAGATTTAAAGAAGTGATAGTGTTCTTGTATTTTTTTTAAAAGTAGGTGGGGAGTATAAATCTTAAACAAATAAACAAGTTGTTGATTGTAAAACAGATGTAAATCCCAGAAGTTTGTGAAAAGGTGTCTGTAATTCAGTTTTACCAAATTTGGATGTACAAAGGAAGGTTCTCTTCCTATGAAAGATTGCCTTCTACTGAAATTTGCAATATCTCTACCTTTTAACATTTCTTTCTCAAGTTGTTAAAGTTGACCAGTATGGTGTCATACAATCTGCTAATCAAGGTGCAGGTATCACTGTCAAAAACTTACACTTTTTGTTAGGAATAGTTTAGCATCCTTTAGACTTGATCTCTGAACTTTTCATCTTTAAGGCATTGACCAACGCTACTTGGATGAATCTGACCTTCTCTTAGGAGACTTGAATGTTGTTTGTAATGAATAAACCAGTTCTGTCTTGTTTGGAACAATGTTGAAATTCCAAGAGTGTGTGAGTGTATCAACAACTCTTTCCACTTCTCCAAAGAGATTGATTGCAGGAAGATATATGCTTCAACAGAAACTTGGCAGTGGAAGTTTCGGAACTGTTTATCTGGTTTCAGACAAGAAAGCTAAACAAGGAGAGGAATTGTAAGTAAAAATACTTCATACAAATCTTGAATTGGTTGCCCCGTATGTGCAGCTCTTAGGTCTTTGTATTAAAGCAAGAATTTAGTAGAGATAGAAAAGCTCCTTGACTGATCTCTTCAGATAAGGTTTTTAAAGACATTTCAGAAGGTGAATGAAGTAGCCAAATGACCTACAGAAGGGAAATGGGGTCGATTATGTGAAAATAAGATTTTTATGCATATCAGTCTCAACTGCAAAATTGCTTCTGCTTAACTTGATTAGAACTTCTTGAATGAGAAAATAGAATTGTTCATAATGACTGCATTTTTAGAAATGTCGTGAAATGCAAATAAACAGTAATTCATATTTGAGGTGAATAGGGTTTACAAAAGGACATATGGCGTTAATTTTCTTTGTCTTTTCTATGGAGGAGATTTTCAAAATCTGTAATCAGAAGGGCCTCAAATTAGATATTTAAACCAAATGGAAGCTCCCATTTAAAATTAGCTTTTATGTTAATGACTCCCTTGACATCTCCTTTCCTTTGATTTTGATCAGACCTAAACTTTCATAGTAGAGAAAAATTCTCAATAGCTTTGTACAGTATGTCTCTTACAGATAAGGGTAAAGTTTTACTTTTAGCTTAAGATTTTTAAGATAAAAATTCATTTTTGAATTTGTGGTAGTGAAAAGTTAGTTGGAACAAGTTCAGATAAGAAACTTGTACATCAGAAACACAGGAGAAAGAGAAAGCAGGCTTTAACCCCAGAAGATCTAATTTCCATTCCATAATTTATACTTTTATTGAGAGGTTTTTAGGCTACTTCAAGTTATTCCAGCTTTTGCCCATTGGATATTTAAGTGTGGATTTAAAATCAGTATCATAAACGCTTTTCTACTTCTTCATATGTCATAGGAATTATAAAGGTAAATGTTACTATTGCTACTACTACATTATTTTAAAAATCAACCTTTTAAATGCTCTCTATGTTCAGAATTTTTAAAGGTTGTAATTATCTATAATTTATAGTTTTCAGTTAATTCCTATATGAAGAGCTGCCATTTTTCTGGTGTCCTTAGAACATACATTATGACTCCTACTAAAAAGGTTTTTCTCTCTTACATCCTAGAGGTGCTCTTCTAGCCATTTAGCAAAGGATGGTAAATTTCTTATAATTACTGGAGAGTATTTATGGAAATGTTACCAAACCAAATTTGTGTCCGTCCACCTGTGTACAGCTAAGCCAAGACACTCACACCAGGTTGCAGAAGGGAAATAGGCATTTAATTACAATGCCAAGTAATTCGAGCAGGGACAGCTAATGCTGAAAAAAACCCCATGATCCTCGAAAGTTTATAAGCAAGGATTTTTTAAGTAAAAACTTGTAGATTTGGATGGGGCTGGGTGAGTGGCCTGTAGATGCTTCTGACTGGTTGAGTCTCAGATGATAAGGAATAGTTCTTGGACCCTGTCCCTCAGTCTTCTGGCTCCAATCAATCCGGTGGTTTTGTAGTCCACATTTGGTTAGCATTTTCATCTGGTGGGAAAAGTTGGGTCTCGTTCTCTGTGAAAACATCTCATGGATACATGTCAGGATAGTATCTTTGATCCTTGGAGTCTAGAGGCTCCCTCCTTATTGCTTAGGCTACATCTCATGTGCTCAGCTGTTTCTTTATACTCCCTTCTTTGATTACTAGTCATAAAACTCAGCTCCACAATTGTTAGTTGGATAGCCCAGTTCCAAGATTTTAAATCACTTTAATTTGGGGAGACCAAGGCCACAGACTGCTTTCATCTAAATTTTCAAGGGGCTTTATCAAGGAGGGGGTAACTGCTCAGTTTTCAAACATATTGAGAGTAATATCTAAATCTGACCCAGAACTTGTAAAAATCACAGTGTAGGACCATATCTAATTTTGCTTTCTTCAACTAATGAGGATTGTGAAGAATTTTAAGAGAATTCACAGGGGGGCTAAAAAGGTGATTTAAGGGATGTAAAACAAGATGTATGAAGACCAAACTTGAAAGCTTCAGACATCAGATGATGAGTGAGTGTGGAGTTAGGGGAGCGGGGGGGGGGGGGGGGGGGAAAAAGGGGAGAGAAAATGAAAGACAATGAGTGAGAGAGA